TTTTCTTCATAGAACCCAGCTTCTCGGATTATTTGCTCAGCACAGATTGAATAAGTATGGTGAAAAAATACAACCTTGTCACACACCTTTCTTAATTTTAAATCAGTCAGTGTTCCCATGTTCTGTTTGAACAACTGCCTCTAAGTCCAGATACAGATTCCTCATTAGGATCAGTTTTATCAGTGATGTTGAATGTGAATGCCTTTATTAGCTCACCTTCTGGGCTGCTAACTGCAAAATCAGCAGTTCGAACACATCAACTGCTCCCAGGGAGAAAGATGAGGCTGTGTGCTCCTGTAAAGATGGACAGTTTTGGAAAACCTAAGGAGCAGTTCTACTGTCCTGTAGGGTCAGTGTGAGTCGGAACTGCTTGGTGGCAGTGCGTTTGGGTTTGGTTTCTCTTGGGAAGGTCTCAGAACAGGGCTTCCTCCATCAAGGCCGGGAGGGCACAGAAGCCCCACAGGCCCGGCTCAGCCAGGAAGAAATAGGCTGGTAGAGGCCTGCCCCTGGCTCTGCCACCTCCAGGGCCAGCCACGTGGCACCTCTGACTCTGTTTCCTCATCCTTAAACTGCTCCCAGGGGCACGTCGTCATTCCACAGACAAGGTAAGGAATGCTATAGTGTCGGGTCTCAATTTCCCAAATGATCACCCCATAGAGAGAGATCCCACCTCCCGGGCTCTGCTCAACATCACACCCTCCCCCCCCCCCCCCCCCCCCAATGCTTTGCCCACTTGCTGGCTGGTGGCATTATGCAAGCTCTCTCTCCAGGAGAGCACAGCCCCCCGGCCCCTCACAGTCCCTAGGCCTCTGAGCAGGTGAGTGGGGTGGTGCTGGGAGCTTGGGAGGGCAGGAGAGGTAGCCACCAGCTTCTCCTGGACTTGCTGCTTCTGCACCAGGCGGATCCTCTCCAGCTGCTCCCGACTCATGCCCTTCCAGCGGTCGGGAACCACACGGTGTGGCCCGAAGGAGCTGGCCGCCTGTTCAGGGTTCTCGGAGAGCAGGTCCCCACGCAGCAGGTTGGAGATCTCAGCCAGGTTGTCCTCTTGCTCCTGCTTTTTCTCTCGCCTTCTCCTCGCTGCCGCCTCCAGAGCCTGAGCAAGAGAAGACCCCCGGGGAAGACTCACTAAGGGGTCCCACAAAAGACCCCCAGGGAAGATTCACTAAGGGGGTCCCACAAAACTCACAGGTGGCCCTGGTTGGAGGATGGTGTGTGGGGGTGTTGATTTATTAAGCATGGAGTTGGACCCCTGACTGCCTGGGTGATGCTGGGTGGGATGGGCTAGAACAATGGGCTTACCACCAGTTGGGTGGGTGTATAAGAGCTACTGGTCATTGGCTACACCAATTCCTCAAAGCAAGGAGCTACCTTCCAGGTTGGACTGCAGTTCCCATCGGCTTGGCCCCACCCCAAACCAGGACTCTGTGCCTCTCCCTGTGGCCCTGGCAATCCCTGGACACCCACGGGCTACAAAGGACACCCAGCACAGTAATTCACAACAGAGGTCACTTCTAAAAGGTGGCAGGCTCAAGGCCACGCGATGCTGCTGATGCCCTTTGGCCACAGAGAAGTTGGTGTGGTCAGTGCTGTGTGACCTGGAGTCAGTTTCCTGCCCTCTCTGGGCTGAAGTCATTTCTCTGCCAAGTCTGGGAAGATTAGAAAGGATCTGTCACTGTTCCACAGTACTGAGGGCACAGAGCCCAACCCTGCTAGTGTCCACGGGATAGCCCCAGGCCATTGCTTAAGTACATGCTTTGCGGCTGGACAGGCTCGGACTCATAGTTGTGGACTGGCCACTGGATACCCCTCTGGGCCTGGTTCCGTATCAATTCAAGTGGGTTAATCAATAAATAAAGAAGAACGGAGAAGAATGATGCAGTTGAAATATGGTATTGGCAAAGAATATTGAAATTACTATGAACTCCCAGAAAAGCAAGCAAATCTGTTTTGAAAGGAGTACAGCCAGAATGCTCCTTTTGAAGTATCATGGGAGAAGAGAGCACGGCCTACTCCCTCAGGTCACCAAACTGGTTCCCTTAGGTTGTCCTCTCCATTCAGAGCTAAGAGGAACTCTGATGGCGCAGTGGCTAAGCACTCAATGGTTAACCGAAAGGTCAGTGGTTCAAAGCCACTGCACAAGAGAAAGATGTGACAGTCTGCTTTTTAAGATTGAAAACAAAAATGAAAGGAACAATCCGTTGCCACGAAGTGGATTCCAACTCAGAATAACCCTAGCGGTCCAGTAGAACTGCTCCTTAGGGTTGGTGGTGGTGGTTCTGTGCCGTGGAGTCGGTTCCGACCCATAGTGACCCTGTACAGGGTTTCCGAGGCTGTAAATCTTTATGGGAGCAGAAAGCCTCATCTTTCTCCCCCGGAACAGCTGGTAGTTTTGAACTGCTGACCTTTGCAGTTCGCAGCCTGATTCGTAACCACTACGCTACCAGAGCTCCTTCCTTAGCATTACGAGACTGTTAATCTTTACAGGGGCAGACAGCCTCAGATTTCTCCTGAGGAGTGGTAGGTAGGTTTGAAGTGCCATCTATGTGGTTAGAAGAACAATACTTAACCCAATACACCACCGCGGCTCCTTGTTTTTAAGATTGTTGTTGTCAAGTGCCTTCAAGTTGGTTCCAACCCACAGCGACCCTGTATAGGGCTTCCGAGGAGCAGTTGGTGAGCTTGAACCACCCACCTTGTGGATCAAACGAATTTGCAGGCCAAAGCATTAGCCCACAGCGCCACACCAGGACTCCAATTGGTGGTGGTGGCCGTGTGCCGTCGAGTCGGTTCCGACCCATAGCGACTCTGCATAGGGTTTCCGAGGCTGTAAATCTTTACGGGAGCAGAAAGCCTCATCTTTCTCCCGCAGAACAGCTGGTAGTTTTGAACTGCTGACCTTAAGCTCTGCAGCCCAATTCGTAACCACTACGCTACCAGAGCAGCCTTACAAACCCTATGGAGCTCTCCTCTACCTACAGAATCAGTATGAGTCAGAATCAACTTGGTGGCATGGGTTTGGGGTGTGTTTTGGTTCAGAGCTAAAGAGTAGGGGACTGAGTCTCATTTGTCTCTGGGCCCTGAGCAGGGCTCACTTAGGGGGACTCCAGGAACCCATAGAGAGGTCAAGGGGCATGAGTGCATCCCCCTCCAGACACGGAGCCGTACCTGGTTCTTATTGAACTCCTTCACCGTGGCGCACACTGCTCTCCTGGTGGAGCCCTCCAGCATCTGCAGGTGCCGGGCCGTGTGGTCCAGCTGCAGCCGCGTCTGGGTGTGCAGGGACTCTGAAAAGGGGCCGTGTTCAGCGCGCCCACCCGCAGCCTTTGCCTGCACAGGGCATCCAAGGGCTACTCCTGGGTTCCTTGCCTATCGCTCCTCCTCCCCACAAACAGGGATAAAAAGAGTGACAGGTCTTATAAGGAGGCTGGAGTGAGAGTTTGGTGCCTGGCACTCCCTAGGGTCAGCCATGACCACTATGTGCTGGAACAGAGGAGAAAAAACCAGTGTGGGAAGAACTGAGTGAGTGAAGAGCAGAGCAGTGGGCAGCAGGCCAGACTGTGAAGGCCTCAGAGGGCCTCGTACTGAACGTGGCTTTTACTGAGTGAAATGGGGAGCTCCCAGAGGGCTCTGAGCAGACGCTTTGGCTTCTAAGTAGAGAAGAGTCTGTGAAGGAAACAGGAGCAGAAGCAGGGAGACCAGTTGGTTGGTTGGTTATTCAGCTGTTGTTGACCCTTCTCGAGCAATCTTGGCGAAGGTGGTGGAAAGAGAGCTATAATGTGTGATGACGTGTTGAAGACCTCGGTGTAGCCTCTGGGAGACAGAAAGGAATCCAGGTAACTTGTGGTTAGGGGCTGGGTGACTAGAAGGATGGGAGGTCATTGACTGACGGGCAAGGTCAGGGTTTTGGAAGAGGCTCACTTCATTTGGTACATTTGTTGGACCCTTAAGAGGAGGTGTCCACAAGCAGTTGGATTTATGAGTCTGGATTCAGCTAGAGATAGAAATTCGAGAAACGATGGTGTAAGGCTGCTATTGAAAGCCATGAGACCAGATGAGGTCAGCCAGAGCAGTTGCTAGAGAGGCCCAGAGAACAGTGTCATGTGACAACAACATCCAGAGGTTTGGAAGGTGACCAAAGACCAATGGAGGAGCCTGGGAGAAGAGAGCCAGGGTGAGGCGCTGGTGTCCTGGAAGTCAAAACGAATGAACTATTTCCGGGAGAAGGAAGTAGCCAACTGTGTCACATGTGGCCAACAGGTCAAGATGAAGACTGGCCGCCAACCTGGATCAGGTGACATGGAGGTCACCGGAGAGCTTGAGCAGCACAGGTTCAGAGGAGGGGTGAGGGCAGAAGTCTGGTGAGTGGGGTCGGAGGAGACAGGAGACACTGCTCATGGAAAGTTGAATGAGAAAAGCAGGCTCTGAACCGCCATCTTTTCAAGCCCAGCTGGAAGGAAGATGGACAGGAAATGGGGAAGACCAAGCAGAGGGTGATGTGCATCACTTCCCGTCTCAGCTCCCAGTTTTGCGTTCATTGAGGCTTCTCTAGGTTGTTTCCTCAGCTTCCTGAGGACAGGAACTCTGTCTTCTTCGTTGCTGTGCCTCCTAGCCATCAGAGTATCTGACCCAGGAAGGGGCCAGGGGCCAGTACTGCTGAAAAGTTGGGAGAGAAGGGGACTGACCTCGGTGAAAACAGCACCCAGAGAACTTGTCTCTCGTTCCCTCAAAGAGCCAGGCTCTGTCATGACTCAGAATCTTTGCCCAAGAAGTTCCCTGGGCCTGGAGAGTCCTGCTGAGGACGTGTGGCCACCTTGCCCATGGCGGTGGCCTGTGGTGCCCTGCAGGGACTACTCTACCATAGTACTTCGGACACTGAACACTTTCAGGACAGGGTACACCCTCAGAGTTGTTTCCAGGGGAACTGATGTGTAGCTGGGGAGATAAGCAGGCTGCTGGCATCTGCTCTTTCCTCACACAGCCAGTGCACCACGTGACGTGCACATCGATATGCCCTTGAAGACTCTGGCAGTTCTGTGGCTGCAGTCTCACCTTCCGTGGGGGAGGTGTGAGTTTGATACTTGGTCATCATATCTTATGTGTGGATGCCACCCATCTGTCAGTAGAGGCTTGTGTGTTCCTGTGACATTGAGCAGGTTTCAGCAGCGTGTCCAGACTAGGATGGATTAGAAGAAAGGTCTCACGACCTATATTTGAAAATCAGCCACTGAAACCCTAAAGCTTAGGTGCACATGTGTCACACTGTGCATGGGCTCATCGTGAGTCTGGAACCAGCTCCGCTGCAGCTAACAACAAGGCATTGTACAAATGGGTAGATCATAACAGGTTATGCTACTATTGCCAAGAATGGGAGCTCCAGGAACACTTGGTTGTGGTCAGCAGAACCTTTACTTAGACCAAGGGGCAGTCATCTGAACAGAACAAGGGGAGATCGAATGGTTTAAAATCATGAAAGGTGTGTGCTAGGGTTGGATCCTCTCACCATACTTACACAGTCTGTATGCTGAGCAGGTAATCTCAGAAGCTGAACTAAATGGGGAAGAATGTGGCATCAGGATTGGAGGAAGACTCATTAACAACCTGCAATATGCAGATGACACAACCTTGAGCACTGAAAGTAAAGAGGACTTGAAACATTTGCTGATGAACATCAAAGATTATAGCCTTTAACAGAGCGAAAACAATAATTGTTCCAATGGAGTAATAAGCAACATCATGATAAATGGAGAAAAGATTAAAGTTGCCAAGGATTTCGTTTTACTTGGACCCACAATCAATGTCCACGGAAACAGCCGTCAAGAAACAACAAAAAATGGAGGAAATATAAGCAAATGCTGTTGAATAGTGATGCATGGCAGGGATTGTAATCATGGCAATGAAACGAATGTGACAGGATGAATGTAAAGCTTATATTCTCCCATGTAAATGATCACTCCATTCACAACAAAAACTTAAAAAGAAAGAAAGAAACCAAACAACATACTGCACTAGGGAAACCTGCTGCAAAAGACTTGTTAAAAATATCAAAAAGCAAAAAACATCACTTTGAGGACTAAGATGCACCTGACCCAAGTTATAGTATTTCCAATCCCCTCATCAGCATGTGAAAATGGGACAATGAAAAAGAAAACCACAGAAGAATTGATGTCTTTGCATTATGTTGTTGGTGAAGAACATTACATATACTATGACTGCCAGAGGAAAAAAAGGTCTGTCTTGGAAGAAGTACAGCGCGGATGCTCCTTAGAAGCAAGGATGGCAAGCCTTCGTGTTTCATACTTTAGGCGTGTTGATAGGAGGGACCAGTCCCTGGAGAAAGACACCATGCTTGGTAAAGTAGTGAGGAGAGGTCAGTGAAAAAGAGGAAGAACCTCAATGAGATGGACAGACACAGTGCCTGCAAGGATGGACTCAATCATAAGTACAATAGTGAAGATGGTGCAGAGCTTTGTTCTATAGCACAGTGGGTCGCTATGAGCTGGAACTGACTAGAATGTACCTAACAACAACAAGCTCTGAGACCAGGCTGTCTTGTTTATTCCATTACCTGCAGATTTGTGATCCGCTCGGGCATTCAGCCATTCTTTTTGCTGTTGTAAGGACCATTCTCGGTTTTGTTCCTCTTGGAATTTCTTCCTCTCTTGGAAGTTTAAATCCTCTCCCATGAATTTCTGCATTCCTGATATGGAATTCCGCACATCATTATCTGACAGCCGGGCTGGAAGATCTTTCCTAAGGGCCAGGGGATCAGACAAGTCAAATTCCCGGCGGGTTTCTGGCATCTGAAAGCGCTGCTGGAAATTGTTGAGAGCCCTACACAGGTTTCTCCGATCTCTCTTTTCCCGGTTTTCCAATATGCACATGATTTTGTCATTTTGTCTCATTTCGGCAGCTAGAAGAGACGTAGTATATCATAAACTTATGATTCAGAGGTGAAAATATAATCCACTTAAAATATGCTCTAATGAGTGTCTAAAAAGGCAACATAGCATTAAAAGATTGTTTATATTTATTTTTTTTTACATCAAATCTGTTCATTTAGAGATCATCTCAAGAACAGATTTGATGTAAAAACAACAATGATAATAATAATAAAGGCTCAATATCCTTAATATGGGAGTCCTGGTGTGACACTATAGGATAAGCAGTGGACTGCAAAGTCTGTTTGAACCACAAGGTTGGCGGTTCAAATTCACTAGCCACTCCTTGGAAACCTTCTAGAGAACCTCAGAATCGACTCAATGGCACTTACCAACAACATCCTCAATATGGTGGGAGAAAGATGAGGCAGTCTGCTTCCGTAAAGGTGACAGCTTTGGAAAACCTATGGGGCAGTTCTACTCTGAGTGACACTCAAGTCCATGTCCATGGGCTTCGGTACATGGAGTAGTTAATATACTTGGTTGCTAACTGAAAGGCTGGAGGTTCAAGTCCACCCAGAGGCACCTTGGAAGAAGGCCTGATGATCTACCTCTGAAAAATGAGTCTTTGCAACAAATCAGTCATTGGATTCCATGGCAACTGGTTTTGAATTCTTTTTTGTTTTTAGTTCTTAGGTTAAAAGTTTAGATGTAATTAGTTTTCCTCACCAGTCTATTGATGTCGACTGTTTTAAATACAACAGGATTTTTGAAAGAGGAAAAAGGATACTAAATTATACATACAGCAGGTTGTCTATTGGTTTAAAAAACATACATAGAGAGTGGAAGGAATTAGTAAAAGCACTCTTTTACTCTGGAGTCCTGGTGTGGTGCTGCAGGTTAATGCACTGCTCTGTAAGGTCAGTTTGAAATGCTAGGTCTGCGGTTCAAGCTCACCAGCTGCTCCTTGGAAACCCTATACAGGGTTGCTATGAGTCAGAACTGACTCGACGGCACTTAACAACAACAGTAACACTCTGACACAGATGGAGTCATCACAACTCTGGATGAATTCAAAGGCAACTGGTTGTATCCTAAATACACAAACAAAAACCCAACCCAAACCACTATGCCACCAGAGCACCTTATGTTACCAGGGGCCTTCAAAAAATTAGTGGGAAAATTTCATTCTCTTTCAATTCCATTTGACCACGAACATTTCTGAAGGTCCCTCCATATCTATGTCCAGCACAGAGATTTTTCTAAGTTTGAGTTTCTGTAACTAAAAATAATCAAGATAAAACTGTTGAAACATATAGAAAATGGTAACGGAGAAAAGCAACTCAATCACAATTCCATTGCCTCAAAATTACCACTGTAAGGGTTTAGTGACACAATGGGTAAGTACTCAGCTGCTAATCTAAAGTGATCTGATCATTTGAATACTTCATGGGAGAGAAGACCTGGCTATCTCCTCCTATAAAAATCACAGCCTCAGAAACCTAGGGTCACTAAGAGCTGGCTTCGACTCGACAGCACATTACAACAAAGATTTGGGAATAATTCCTTTCACGCTCTATGTATGTATTTTAACCTGACTGACAACCTGCTGTTTGTATAATTTAGCATCCTTTTTTCTCTTTCAAAAATCCTTTTGTGTTTAAGATAGTCAACATCATTAGACTGGTGGGGAAAATTAATTACATCCTAACTTTTAACCTAAGTACTAAAGAACAAAAAGAATACAAAATCAGTTGCCATGGAATCCCCTAGAATTCATGGCACTCATGAGCACGTGTGTTCCAATAGAGCTGTGCTCACAGGGTTTCCAACGGCCGATGGTTTTTGGAAGGAGATCTCCAGGACTCTCTTCCAAGGCATCTCTGGATGGACTCAAATCTAGAACCATTTGGGTAGCAGCCAAGTGTTTATGCCCTCCCTCCCCAGGGACTCCATCTAAGAGGAAGAACATTTACTTGAATCATATCCCTCTCTGAGGTGTGTGTGTGTGTGTGTGTGATGTGGGAAAAGTCTTGGGGGTTCTGTTGTACACATCTGTCTTCCGGGAAAGGTCTTGGCAGACAGTGGTGTGTGTGTGTGTTGTGGCTTTTCATTTTTTATATCTGGTTTTCATATTGGGTTTTATTTTTTTTTTTTCACACCAAAGGTCTCATAGGAGTTACTTTTATACAGAAGCATAAAAATAAAGGAAGAAACCAGAAGTTCGTCAATGCATGTTCAAGTGATCAGATCATGTTGAAATTTGAAACTTGATATGGCAGAATGTGAGTGAACCAGCGCAATGTGTGTACCATCATATGTGGGGTTCCTCATAGTCCCAGCTTGGCTTTCCTTCAGCGTCTCCTCTTAGAGTTGGGCCTGATTTATTACACGTTTTCATTTGAAACCCTTGAGCAATGGGATGACTCTGCTTTTGTTTCTTGGCCCAGGAATCTCTTGATTTTGAAAGAGTTATGAGAAGACTTGGCAACAATGGGAGGCGGCCACAGTCACACGATGGTGGGCAAAGGGACATCAGTAGAGAAACTCATGTAGCTATCCTTAAAATACATTCCCTTCCATCCACATGAAAATGCATATAGCTGTTTATCTTTTAAGAGAAGAATGTATTCATTAAGTTATTTGGGCCCAAGGAACTGAAATTCCAAAGCAGGGAAAAATGTGAAAAAGATGTCTGGAGAACTGAAGGTCCATCACCCTAAGCCCCTAGACAGAAATTGAAAAATTGCTCACCAAAGGTTTCATGTCTAACTTTTTCAGTTGCTTCTTTTATTGTCTGGTCATGGACCTGGACATCCCAGGCTTCTGAGTCTCCCTGGGAATAGGAGAGAAGGGAGAGGGATTAGAGCCAGATACTTTTTATCCAGCTGCCAACCACCCTTGTTATCTGGCAGCCTTGTCCCATTGTAAATGAGTTGTCTAAGGAAACACTGGGCTTTGCCATACCTGCGTGCCCTTGCTTATTGCTGTTTTTTCAGCCTTCCTTTCCCCAGAGCTTTCTTTCCCCATTTCTCTTGGTTAAAAGCTGCTGATCCTCATAATGACTGCATAGGTATCACCTCCTCCAAGAAGCCCTCTCTGATGTCCCCTCCCAGTCCCAGTCTGTGCCCCCTGAGCTCTTCTCCTTCACAGCATCAATTCCACTGCATTTCAATGTGTCTCCTTTCATGCTTACTGGAGCCACGAGCTCAAGGTAAAAACAAAAGCCCGTTGGCATCCAATCAGTTCAACTTATTGAGAACCTGTGTCAGAAGGGAACTGTCCGCTATAGGATTTTCAGTGGCTGCTTTGTTTTTTTTTAAAGTAGATTACCAGGACTTTCTTCTGAGGTGCTTCTAGGTGCACTTGAACCTTTCCGTTAACAGTGAAGCATTTGCAGCAACTAAAGACTCCTCTGGTGATGCTTCATCTCTTGCAGGTCGGCTCAGGGTTGCCACAATGTAGGTACCATACTGGGAGGAGGTTCCTGGCAATACAGGACCCCTGGTTCGACTCGTAGAAAGAACCACATTCTAATCTGTGTCTAGTTACTAACTCCAAGCAAGCACGTCCAGTCCCCTCCCTGCTGTGGGGCTCAATTTGCCACGTTTCAAAGCAAATGTTATACAGTCTGGCCTGTTAAGGACTCTCCCATCCTCTGCAAGTTCAGTACACGGAACTATCATACACACCACCACCACCCCTGCAGCTCTGCCTGGATCAAAAACTCAAACCTTCCTCTCCTCACAGTTCATCTCCTTTTTCTCTCGCCATTGGGGCCAAGGGCCTCACCCCGATGAGCCTGTTCCTCGAGTTGAAGATCCGTTTCTGCCTGCACATCTCTCCATGCCTCCTTTTGGCCAGGTCAATGTCTTGTGCCAGGTCCTTGGGTAAAGCGACCTTCATGGCTCCAGGGAGTCGCTAAGAACTCGGGGCGGGAGGCGGGGGGTTTAGGGCCGGCGAGGTAAGACGACAATCAGGTAAAACAAGCTGTCGCCCCTCCCAACTGACTGAATCCCTAGAAGGGTGGGCGGCTGGGAATCCAGTTGCGCTGCAGCCCCGCAGTTCAACTGCGGCCCCACGTCGCCAAGGGAACGGAACGCCCTATCGGCTCCCAGCGTCAACAGCTCCGGTTGCTAAGGAACAGCGCCGTGCTCGCCACCTCTCGCGAGACTAACTAAACGACACGACGTTAGGCGCTTCCCGCGCTTTTCCGGCCAGCGTGTGCGGTGGTAGCTGAGGCGCAGTCATGGGTCACCTCGAGCTGCTGGTCGTGGAGAACTTCAAGTCGTGGCGGGGCCGTCAGATCATCGGCCCCTTCAAGAAGTTTACCTGTATCATCGGCCCCAACGGCTCCGGTAACTGGGCGCCCGCGGCGGGACCCCAAACGCTCCGACCGCCCGCTCGGCGGCACACTGCGCACCGAGTACAGCTCAGGGGACGGGAGGCGCCATGCGGCCTGGAGTCCGGGCCGCGGCTGTTGGTGTCGGAGCCGACCCACCGTGCTCCCCAGATCCCGACTCCATTCTCCACAGAGGACGGACCCAAAGAGCGCGACCCCCAACGCCGGGCCCCCCAGACCGCGGGCCCAGACCCTGCACCCCGGACTCCCAAGATGTCTCCTCACATCCTCAGACCTCCCTCCGCGCGCCCC